ATATGTGCGCGGACAGTGGAAATCTAATGGCGATTGCCCAGCAAGTCATCCAGCAGAAGCAGCAGCAGGAGCAGCAGCAGCAACAGCACCACCAGCAGCCGCCGCTCGGTGCTTTCTCCCTCACTCCATGGCCCAACAACACCCACCACACTCTCGCTCAAAGCCCCAATCTGGGCTTCGGGCTAACTGGGTCGGGGTTTTCCGACCCGTTTCAGATGCCGGGAGGTTCCGACGCCGGTGGGGAGCCTGGGTTTCCGTTTCCTAACTTGGATCACCACGCCACTGGGTTTAGGTTCTCTGATTTGGGCGGCGGTGGAGCGGCCGAGTTCGACTCGGACGAGTGGATGGATAGCATAATAGGCGGTGGGGATTCAACGGATAGTTCCAACCTGCCTTATGCATGCGACACGTGGCAGGGGAACAATGCTGATTTCGGTCTCTATGGCGCCGATCCGTTTCAACCCCACTGCCCGAGTCGACTCAGCAACACTTGCTCTCCGCCGTCCGATCTCAACCGAGTCATATTCTCCGAAACCCAGAACCAATTGGCAACGTGGACTCCACCGCCGCCACAACAACTACACCAGGTTTCGATTAAAGAATCCAAATCAGCAGACCATCCTTCACTCAAAAACGACGCTGTCGGGGTGTCGTTAGGGTCGCCCGAGATTGAGTCAGCACCGCCGCTGCTTAAAGCCCTACTCGACTGCGCCAGGCTCACCGAGTCGGACACCGACCGCGCCGTCAAATCACTGATTCGACTCAGGGAATCGATCTCAGACCACGGAGATCCAACCGAAAGAGTCGCCTTTTACTTCGCCGAAGCGCTGCACAACAGAGTGTCAGTTCTGCAATCAGAGAAGACCTTTACGACGGCGTACGACACTCCCTGCGAGGACTTCACGCTGTCATACAAGGCCTTAAACGATGCCTGTCCGTATTCCAAGTTTGCCCATTTGACGGCGAACCAAGCGATACTCGAAGCGACGGAGAGAGCTACCAAGATCCACATAGTCGACTTCGGAATTGTCCAAGGGGTCCAATGGGCGGCGCTGCTGCAGGCCCTTGCGACCCGGTCCACCGGAAAACCCGTCAGTATTCGGATCTCCGGCATACCCGCTCCTTCACTTGGGGATTCTCCAGCGGCCTCGCTATTCGCCACTGGAAATCGACTCCGAGAGTTCGCGAAGCTTCTGGAGCTGAACTTTGAGTTCGAACCGATTCTGACTTCGGTAAACGAGCTTGACGAGTCGTGCTTCCGGTTCGAACCGGAAGAGGCCTTGGCTGTGAACTTCATGCTCCAATTGTACAACCTGCTTGACGATAAACCAGCAGCGGTTCATTCTGCTCTGAAGCTGGCCAAGTCTCTGAACCCGCAGATTGTGACTTTGGGCGAGTACGAAGCGAATTTGAACCGGGTCGAATTCGCCAGCCGGTTCAAGAACGCATTGAAGTACTACACTGCGCTGTTCGAATCGTTGGAGCCGAACTTGACCCGAGACTCGCCGGAGCGGCTGAAAGTGGAGAGGCTTTTACTGGGTCGACGAATTGGCGGTTTGGTCGGGCCCGAACAATCGGGAACCAAACGAGAACGGTTCGAAGACAAAGAGCAGTGGAAGTATCTGATGGAAAGCTCCGGTTTTGAGTCGGTAGCCCTCAGCCATTACTCCGTCAGCCAGGCTAAAATCCTGCTCTGGAACTACAATTACAGTTCTTTGTATTCTCTAAAGGAATCTCCACCTGGGTTTCTCTCTCTATCCTGGAGTGAAGTTCCCCTGTTCACAGTTTCTTCATGGCGTTAATGGGTTTTGCTTCGATTTCGGAATCGGGTTATCGGTTTTTCGCCAGGTCTTTTATAACTGGGCGGGAGCCTGTTAGTTTCGGTACGCCATTGACGGCAATCAGATATGAAACTCAAGACTCTGCCTTAGTGACAAACTTAGGATTAGTAATTACCATCCATCAGTGTTAATTTTGAGCTTTTTGGGTCACAAATTGCTTGTTAATTTTGTAGTTTGGTACTAGTTTTTTTCACCTTCCTCCGTTTTTTGGCTTTCTTTACAGGTCTGAGACTCAAATATGACTAATTGTAAAAAAAAAAAAAAAAAAAAAAAAAAATGGCATTGAAAAATGGAGGGGTAAAAAGGTTCTGCCCCCTTTGTTGTCTGTAATTCTGTTTGTAAATTTGAATCTTGATATTGAGTTTAGTTTTCATTTAATTTCACCTTAATTCTTGGGCAGTGCTTCTCACTCCTGTTTTCTCGTTCTGTACTTTTTAATAAGATTGTTTTTGTTCCTTCTTTCGTTTTCGTTTGATTTATTCAATTCAATTCAAGACTAGGAGATGATAACAACACCGATACACTACTATGGTGATAACTTGCTGGATTTTACATGAAACATTGGGGCCTATTATACACCGAAATACATGACCATTAGATCTTAATTGTTTGATTATTAGTTGCATATTTCATGCTTCATTCATCCAGTACATGACATATGGATAATATTTGCATTCTTCCTATGGGGCGAGCTCATTGTCCCACTTAAACGAATCTGCACCGTAAAACTTTCATAAGCGGATCCGTTCAATCTTCTAATCTTCATTTGAAGATCATTCTTAAAAAAATTCATTCAATCGAATATCGTTGAGTCATCTATGTATGTGAAATAAATCAACGATTCATCATGAATGTGTTATTTGGCACCTACAATGTTGATTTATTTGATACATTTGAATGACTAAACGATATCCGATTCAAATAATTCTATATATATATATGACATTCAAATGAAGATTATGAGATTGAATGGTTCCAATTATGAAATGCCTATGTAATCATAAGTTATTTCCAAGTAGGGAAATGAGTTTATCCCTTCATAGGGAATGCAAGTATTATTCATGCCATATTATCAAAACATAGTATTACGTTCGTAGTGGTGTCCTAAACTAACACCACCCTAAATCCTGACACACACTGGATGCTATGTGTCTTAACTTTCTCACATAGAATTGCTAATTAATTTGAGATACAACCGCAGTGACCTATTCGGTGTAGGTAAGTCTCCCTCTCACAGTAGTGAGTAGGCTCAATATTTTGCCTCCTTCAAATTCTTTTAACTGGTGTCCACATTAGGGTTTTTCAATGCAGATGCCGTAAGGCATCAGATTTTTCATTTTTCTGACTTGCAGAAGGAGTAAATGATATATACCAGGTTGTGAATGTAAAGTCGCCTTCCGAGGAGGACGACCTGTAAGCAAAATCAATCTGCCATAAAAATCTTTTTTCTTCTGCAGATGAAACCTTTCCATATTCAAAGGCTGTTGCTTTATTAGGGTTTCGTAATCAATTTCCTTAAACCAGCCCCAAAGACAATGACTTGAACTTCAAACTTCAAATCCATGGGACCAAGTTTTCTTCTTGATTGTGATATTAATGGCGGTCCCTTTCACTCTCCGATCAATCCCTCTCTCTCTCTCTCTTGAGAGAGAGAGAGAGAGAGAGAGAGAGAGAGAGAGAGAGAGAGAGAGAGAGAGAGAGAGAGAGAGAGAAGGATTAAACAAGCTGGGGAGGAGAAGCATTACCTTTCCTGTTCAGTGTACAAAATCAATGTGGCCAAAAGCATGACAAGGAATGCAGTGGACTGCATGATATATAATGCTGCTGCTACTGGTCCGAGCGATTGTGACAACTCAGGACTCAATTGTAAAAGGAAATATTTGAGTTTATAGAAATTTCATTTTGGCTTAAGTTAGGGTCTAATATTTTTGCTAAAAACACAAATGTGGGGTTTGGTATAAGTCTCTGTCAATCTCTGCGCTCATTTCACTCTTGTAGAACACAAACCCCTTCTTGAATTGCAAAAATGGACCCTTATAGTCCCTCCACCCCGCCACTACTATTTGACATGTCATTCTCACAAGTGGGGAGAAATGACCAAATGGTTGTTTCAAACTTAAAATTCATATCTTTCAGCAAATGTGAGCTCAGCGAGTTGATCAAAGCAGTGTGTCAATTCTGTAGTACCCAAATATGATTGTTTCTCTTTATAAATTTGAATAGTTTGAAATATCGCGTTATAAGTAAAACAAATAAAAAAGTTTATATCTTTTCCAACTAATCAATTTAGTCCAGCAAATTGCATATTTAGTGGCTCAAACTAGTCCAATATTTGCTATTAGTTACTTGAAAGAGGTATGTGTTCATCACTAATTGTCCCCAAGACCTGATTTGGTAACTTGACAGCTAGGGCACAGGTTAACCTAGTTATAAGTAGTTGAATGTGAAATTTATGGACCATTTTCTGGTTAAAGTTATGAAGTAATAAATTTCAAGGACTACAATACACATTACATGGAATCTCTTTTCAATTCTTGTAGAACACCACTAACCAAGCCCTTACAAGCCGAGGCCATGGTGGTTCGAGAAGGGTTGGCTTTCGTGGCTAGGAGGGGATTTCAAAACCTGATTATCGAAAGAGATTCGCGGCCATGGTGGTTCGATCTGTACAGCGGTGCGGGTACCTCTGCGATCCTATTGTCCGTTGGACACATTGTATAGGATGTGAAAGCTTTGCTGCCCTTGATCAGTGGAGTTAGTATTACCCATGTTCGCCCAACGCCAACTGTGTCGCTTTAGCCCGTTTTGCAGTTCAGGTTGGATGCACGTTCTTATTTGTGACCTAAACTTCGAAGAGTGTAACTCTAGTTAAGAGTCTTTGTATTCCCCCTTCCTTATCAATGAAATCGAATCGTTTCAGTAAGAAAAAAAAAAAAAAACTAATAAAAATGGTTTGAAAATCTTGAGTTTTAACGATAAGGACAAAATAAAAGGTAAAATGAATTGTACCATAATTGATTTTTTAGTATAAAAATGTGATTTTTCATTAAAGTAAATATTATCGAAAGTTTTTTTGTTAAAATTCTAAAAAAAGAAAAAAAAAGGGGTGAAAATGGGAACACTTCTAGAAACGCCTTTTGCCATTCAAGTATTGGGTTAATTTGACGAGATGAGTCAGTACTCAATATGTTGTGATATGACACGTGAATTTTCCTAAATGGCTAAGTGAAAGAGGCCAACATTGAGAAATTTGGGGGCACAATTTCGCTGTGACATATTTACTCATTATGTACATATTGGAAGAATGCGTGTACCTAATTACGCATTGACTAAGCTCAAGTGATATTGTATTACCAGCTAGTAAAAGTTTGGTTCACACCATACCGGTGTAATTTTAGTATCTTATTATCCTAATTTTAGGGACGCAAACGGTTTTGCTAAGGACGTGAGAAATTAATATACCATACGCGAACACAATAAAATGATGTCTGATTACACACATCATAACATACACATCTTCAATATAAATATACCATATGCGAGCACAATAAAATGAATTGCAATTAATCTGCATCCTACTAAAGATGATCGAATCCGCCATTAGAGTAGAAAATCTTACATTTTACATCTTTCACTTTGAAGACGATCTGTAAAGTTCTAGTGAAGTAGTTTAATTTGGGTGTTTTTTTTTTTCTTGTTTTAGTTGGGGTTAAAAGTTGGGAAATTTTAGAAAAGGGTAATGGAATAGTGCAAGGATTGAAGGGACTAGTCTTTACAGCAAACAGCTGTTGATATATGGACAGCGTTTGGTTTTGCAGTTGCACGACTCTCATCCTATCAAATCATATTTATTCACATTTTGCCACCGTACGAATCAAATGGTATAGTTAATCACTGTTATATTCGCGCCATCAAATTGGTATTCTGAATGGCCAATAATATTTTTGATTTAGTGTCACTATTGATGGCATAGATATCTGCTCGTTATATTGTTATTACGTAATTTCACGGGTTGTGAGAGAATTCCGCATTTGTTAGGCTTTCGCCTACACAATGGTGAAACCTTTACCATCACCATTAGTGGTATCGTCAGAATTTCATGTGAGGAGGGGTTTTTCACAAATACAAATAAATATGACGAATAACAGTTACAAAACTACTAATTAAAACACCATAATAACACATGCATCTATAATATTTTATATTTTCAATAATCATAATTGTCTCTCACAAATTTTAATATTTTGAAACCGTTGCATGATAATACCGTTATTTAAATATTAAATTTAATAAGAAGAATCAATCAAAAGGTCCAAACTCTAACACTTAAGTAAGATGGATAGACGAGAAACAATAGGAAAAATTATGGAAAGTAAGATAGATTTTACAAATAGTATTGTTTTTGTTGAATAAATTTGAATTTTATATGAAAATAGATATGAAATTTCAAGAAATGAGAAAAATAATAGCTTTTTAGTCTTGGAGTCTTGCTCCTGGGTTGCACTGTGAATGAAAGACTAGAGAAGTTTTTTGTTTTAATTAAAAGTGAATGGGTTTAATGTTAAGAGATTTTATTTTTATCAAAATGTTAAGGGTTATTGATTTTATGTTCAATAAATAAATATTAAATTAGTGTTGGGATGGAATCAAATATGGGAGTTGGAAACTTAAATAGGAGATAGTTTATAATGTGTTTTGTATTATTGACTAATAGGAGAAGGGTTGTAAGGAAGAATAATGAAAGATGTTTATAAGGGAAGGCTTGCAAAAAAATGTGAGGATAGGCCTATTCTCTTCTTCCCTCCCCCCCTGACCACCGCCAAAAACAGCCTTGATTTTGTGAGGAGACTAATGCTTTTTATTTTTGATAAAAAACGATAGATTTCCATTTCAAAAACAGAAAGGCTTGTTCAATACAAGCTAAGAGCAACTTCATCGTTGCTTATTGCCTTGAGAATAGGCAACTCAATCCACTCTCTTTCTCACCAAAACACTTCAGCTCACTCAGACAATTGGACCCAAGGCGAGCCTGATGGAGAAATCAGGCAATAATCGCCTTACCCAACGCTCTGCTATGTGACATAAGGCTGACATCATCATGACTTCAGCCACAATTTAAATTATTAAAAAAACTAATTAAAACATAAAAAATATAATATTTTTTTTCTATAAATACCTAACAATGTTATTCCACTTTACACTACGTTTCAATATTTTCAAATACTTTTAACCAATCTTTTATTATTATTTGAAATTAAAAACAAAGTTATCTTTTATTATTTTATAAAATAAAAAATACTAATATTTTAATACGAATTGGCTGATTTTTCAGTTTAGGGATGAAGATATACTTGGGCAGTTACTGTTCATTTAAGGAGATTAAGTTGCCTATT